AGAGGAAACAAAACATAAATATTAGCGTCAACAACATTGTCAATCTGTTGTGAACTTTAACTTGCTGTTTTTTTTGCCACCCAAACCGCAAATCGCAGCTCAAGCAGGTGTCAGTGTAACCACATTGTTGTATAATGTATCTAATACCCTGGAAGTGGGGGATTTCTATTTCTATTTAAGGGTCAGAACTATGTCAAGTGCAATGAATATTTTACTCCTTCAAAACAAAATATAATCACATAAATAAAAAAGCCTGAAAAGCTACCATCTTTCTCCCTTGTTTCCATGTCACTTGTTCTTAACCCATTGTTGTGTGGAATTTAATTTCCTCTGCATTGTGAGGGCATCCCACATGGAACCTCCGGATGAGCAGGTGGCAGGTGGCTCAGTCTGGGTTCTTTGCCCAGAGTAGATAATAACAACAGAAACAAGACAACAGGTCAGTTCACAGCTGGCAATCAACGCGGGATCTGAATTGAATTATTTGTTTATGTCCGCAAAACGAAAGGTTTCCATGTGAGGGAAAAGCACATATAATTCAAGTGAATGAATGCGGGTTTTCCTTTTATTTTTTAAAACTAAAAAGAAAAATGCTTAAAATGGTTAAATATATTATGATATTTTGTTTTCTAGTTATGGTTATTTGCAAAGGAGATTTCCTCTGTGGATTTGTTGAATTGATCCGGATGGAAATGCGAGGGATGAGACCGATGATGAAGATCGTCGCACGACTTCCATTCCATTGACGCCCACGAAGAGCAAAAGATATGGGCAAAAACTAATTAAATCAAAGCAATTGCTAAACGTACAGTTTAATTAAGCACATGAGACATAAGAGCGCAGTGCAGCGCTAAATATTTCCTGCTGAGCGGGCCGGACTATCGGGCTCTCGGGAATCGGAATCCAAAAGCGTGTACGTCTTAAGCGTATATCTGGGTCCCCAAGTCCCCAATGCCCCAATGCCCCGGGTAACCGGGTAACCGGGTGGGTAAGCAGACCGCTTTCCCAGATCGCCTCCCAGCGGAATTTCTGGTTGAGTCGCGGAATGATGATTGACGGCCATCATCGTGCAATCTTCGCTACGCGGAGGATTACGGCGTCAATTGCTTTGCACTTGCTCCACAGACCCAGATTCTTCAGCTCGATGTCACTCTGCGCTCGATGGATGCACTTTCCTTCCACTTTCCTCAATCTATCTATCTCTCTTGGCATACACGGCGTATGCGCAATATTTGGTTCACTTTTGCGAGGGCGAGGTACAGGAATTCATTCGTCTGGCGGCAGTATTTGCCAGGCAATTACCTTGACGTTAGTTTTTAATCAAATTTTCACATGTTCCTGCCTACAATTTCCTTCTCCATTTCCCCGCCGGTTTTCCTTTTACGTTTTTCCCCGCTCTTCCGCTTTCCACTCCGTCTAGCTTTTCTGTGATAATTGTGGCTAAAACACAAAGTTGGCTCCTACCTACCACACATGTGCATTTTAGACAATGTGTTCGTCTGTTCCTGCCTAATTCTTGATACCCTTTGTATACCCAGGGTTATCTTCCCCGGAGAAGTAGACTCTAGTTTTTTTTGGTTTCATTTGTGGCATTTAATTCAATATTTCACTGGAAACAATCTTTTGAGGTAATGTGTTTTGAAAACCTTACTTTTCTTTGTGTATCTATTAATACTATTATTTATATACATTGTTTTGGTTTTAAAACCCCTTAGAAAGGCATCACAAATATGACGCTTTGGATCCTGTGTCCCCTCATCCATCTGTTTTTTTTTTATTTGTGAAACATTTGCTCTGTTTCCCGGTTTTTGTTTGTTTTTTTTTTTAGCTGCCTACTTGCCTATTGTGGTTTGCTCAAATGGCTGAGAGTTTTTGCGCCTGCCTCGCCCTCAGGACAGCCGCCCACCGCCCACCGTCTGGCGTGCCTTTTGGCCACAAATTGTGCGCAGTCAGTCAGTCAGTCAGTTAGTCAATAACTTTTTCTTTCGGTTTTTTGTCAGGGCAGGACCGACTACCCCCCACTACTTTTTACCCCTTAAAAATATTTCCCGATGTGTGTGCGATCGATTTAACGAGAATTGGCTGGCTGTCTGGCTGCGATTTTTGAACATGATGAAAATAAATTGCCCAGCACACATATGTGCGCCAAATTTATGACTGGCCAAAAACGGGGGAGTGGCCCACCGACCACCGACCACCGACCGTCTCAATGTGTAATTTGTCTTGCAGGAAATGAGCTCCGGCAGGCAAAGAAATCTACAAATAAAATAAAAAAAGAAGTGATGCCTTGTCCATTTCACATTTCACAATTGGGGTTCAATGCACGCACATAGATTTTATTGGCGGTGGGTGGCGAAATCGCGACCTTCCGCCCCAAACTGACCCACTTGGTTTCCTCCCGCCGTACACACACAAACACACACGTACACCACACACATACTAACTAACACATACTAACTTGCGTGCAACAAGTTGAGACAATTGACAGTGGCCAGGCGTTCTCGGCCATTCTGCTTATTTTCCTCGTTTGTTTTCTTGTTTCCACTTTCCCACCCCCTCACCCTCCCCCTCCCCCTCCCACTTTTCACTTGCAAAAATCTAGCTGCAGATGCAGATGCAGATGCGTTTCACGAAAATGGGTTCAAGGACACTGCGTTGTCATCTAATTGGGCGGGCACATAAATAACATTCCTCATTGTTTCCACGCCAGCGTATTTATTTATTTTTGACGCTCGCCCGTTGCGTATGCGTAATAATTCATTTCGCCTGCGATTGCATGTGGCACCTACAGTCAGCACAGAAAAAATAGAACCTAACGATTTATCAATTGTTAAAAAGTTAATGGGGTTTCCCGCTTATTCATTTAAATGGAAATAAAGTAATCGTTTCGATGAAAACATAAATTTATTAGCCATAAAGTAATTTCATTTTGCAATCTGCAGGAATTGCTATTTTTTCTGACCCAGCTGTATGCTGTATATTCAATGCAGTGTAGGCGGCACAGTTTGGGAGCCACTGTGGAGATCAGGCCATGCTGTTTGCTGCATTAGCGGACAGCTCTAGTAATCACAATAAACGCCAGGAATCTGTGTCAAGCATGCCGGCTGTCCGTTCCCCGGACACGGCAGACAAATCCGCCGGATTCGAGGCTGCAAACGGTCAGCAGATGCCACTTAATTGGCAAATAAAATAACCTGTATTAATTACTAAAGTCAATTTTTTGACTTGAAAATCGGAGTTAGCAATTTATGGCAAAAATTTAATCAATAACAATGCGAACTTCAAGGTAACGATTTAAGCTGATTTCTGAACTCGCAAATCGGGAGGGTCTGTTTAACGTGACATTGATAGCTTAGACCTGATTTCTTCGGCATTATTATGTGTATCACACGCCAAACAAGCAAAAAACTTGCCGAAAAACTTCAAAGTCGTGGCACGTGACTATGCAGCTTCATAAGCCAGCCGTTCGGCCAGAAACCCACAACTCCCCAACATCCTCCTCCCGACCTTTTTCTTAAAATCAGACGCCGCCTAGACAAAACGCAGACAATACTTAAAACTCAAAACAGGCATTGAAATCAAAACAGGTCAACGAAATTTCTCACCGATATTCGGTCTAATTTGACTTAAAACAAACGCTTAATCGTTAATAATGTCAACTGAATTTAATGCTGTTTATCAAACATAAAATGAAGAAATATAAGCTTTACATATTTTTTTGAGTAAGAAACATAAATTCAATATATTCGTAATTTTTTTTTAAAATATGTATGTTTAAATTCATTTAATTTTAAAACGTCTTGTTTGTCATCAAATTAAATTTCTACTTTTTTCTTCACCTACAATTGCTATCTGCCATTCCTGTGTCTTTCCATTATCTTTTTAGTTTATCGAATAGTTTTGATAAGGGGGTAAAAGGGGCTCGGGCCATGCACATTTGGCCCACATTCCGTGTATTCCCATAAAACTACAAGCTCTTCTCTACACTTACAGAAAAGAGTACATAGCATGTTAAATAAATTGTCACTTTAAACAGTTCTTCTGCAACCTTGTTATCTTTTATATACAGCTAAATATGATGAATAAATGAGAGTTCAAGAAATGGAAGAGGGTTCTTTAATTTTTTTTAACAGTTGTAGAGGAGAGATTGTTTTGCACAGTGTAGAGGAAACGTGGGAAGAGCGCAACAGAAGAAAAGCTTTCCCCGGGCAAAAAGAGAGAATCGAACATCAATTTTGTGGCAAGATATGATCGCCTTTTGTGGTGACGAAGAGAGGGGTCTACAAAAAAAAAAAAGAAGAGGGTGCCCCAATGAAAGGGGGTGGGTCATTATTGTATCTGTGTGGCACATGTTGAACATGCAGGGCAAGTGCTTTTTATCGGCCAAAGGCAAAAAGAAATATGACGGAGCACGCGTCTTTCATCCAACACTTCCACTCAAGAAAATAGGAAAGGAGTGCCAAAAAAAAATAATTCTGGGTAGGGGTAAAGCGAAAAGAGTGGCAGAAGCATTTATGAAAAACGAATCCAATAAAATTGACACTTGAAATCAACGTAGAAGTAGAAATTGCAGGGAATTTGAGATGATTTGGAACAGAATTTAATAAACAAAACACTTGGTTTAATTGCAGTCTAAAATGCTCAATGGACTTTCTAGAAATAAAGGTTGAAAAACTCCTAAAGATAAGATTTTCATGTTCCAAATTATGTTAAATTTTAACAGTCATGATTGTGGGGAAAAGCTAGCCGAGACACACTGCCCCTAAAACTGTGCCGCTGCACTACCCTGCTTAGCATGGACAAAAACCAAAGTAGCGAAGCTTTTTTGATATGGAACGATAAAGGAAAGCTGTTTTCATTGAATATCTGTGGGGAAAACTTTAAAAACCTCTTTCCTTGAGTTTAAAACTTATTGATTTGATTTGACAAGATTCAAAACTTAAGATTTTGCCAACCATTCTTTGCCATCTTAATTAATTTTTTTTTCTTTTATTTTGCAGCAACTTAAGAACATCAATGATGACCTGGACTTTGTACTGGCGGACGACCAGTCGGTGCAGAACCTCAAGGAGTCCGATTGGTCGGCGACAAGGGACAACGACAACGATGACGACTCCTTCCTGGACACCGCTGACCTCCTGCTGCCCGCCGAAAAGGACGAGCTGGAGGATGCGGACGAGGAGGAGGACGATGCGCCCGAAGCAAACTGGTACCACCGCGTCCGCCGCTCCATCAGCAAATTCTTTGGCGCCGAGGGCGGAAAGAAGCGTGAGAAGCAGCGCGATCGCCGCACAATCGGCGATAAAGTAACGCAGCGTCGCAAGAGGAAGGAGAAGCGCGAGCAGCAGAAGCAATTGCAAAAGAAGAGCCAGCTGGAGCAACAGCGTCTGGCCAAGCGGACCGACGCCGTGGTTTTCAATCGCCAATCCGATCAGCGCAAGCGGGCCTCCGATCTCTACGACGAGAACGAGGCATCCGGATACCGTGAGGAGGAGTCTGTTCTCTGTAAGGAAACTTCTTATCTAATTTGAATGATTCCACTATTGGTTAATGACTTCTAATCTTTCCCTCTTCCCGCACAGATCGCACCCACTTCCTGGTCAATGAGCCCTACTCCAATGACCTCGAAAATCGGGACAGTGAGCACTTCCAAACCCTGCAAAAGTCTCTGGACGATGACCTGCGCAGTTTCTTCCATCGCACCTACGACGGCAACGATGATGAAGAGCAGGAGATCCACAGCACTCTGGAGCGAGTTGAGTGAGTGTCATTTACAACATTACAATGCAATCCAATTCTAATTCGAATTCTTTATTCAGACCCACCGATGACAACTTCCAAGTTCGTGTGCAGCTCAGAATTGAGATTCCCACTTCTATCCGCAACTTTGGAAACAATTTGGAGCAGCAGTTGAAGACCTACAATCGAATTGATCGTGTAGGCGCCACTGCCGAAAACGGATTTTCCTTCGCCGAATCGAGTGGTAAGTATTTAAGGATCTGCGACCCAAAACTTGTCTTTCTTTCTGCGACTTTTTGCGTTGCTTTGGTGTGAGATGCCCTTTCTTATTCCCAAATCAGGGATGCAAACTGGTGTACTTGTAAACAGATGATATTTGCCTTGTGTTTTGTATACTCTTGGTACTCACAGTTTTGAACTGGGGTACAGCATTTATCTCAGGAGATCAGAAGAAGTCCACTTGCAAGATATGAAATAAATGTATGCCAAAATTCCTTTTAAAACCTTAATTACTTCTAACCATAAACTAGGAATATAAAACATGTACTCAGTTTGCATCCCTTTCATTAATTGTAGTCACGATATCCAAACTTTTTTTATTACCCAAAACCCAAAATAAACGTTTTATCAAAAGTCCCGAAGGACATTGGTGGCCCTGTGGATCCCAATTCGAGAAACTCGCCGAATGAGTTTGGCCCAACAACCGAACGAAAAGGTTTGTCCACTAATTTACCAAACCGGAGCCCCGGAAATCCTCGAAACGCCAACAAATATCTTAAATAGCTTCTGTGGGTCTGCTTTGGTATTATTTAAATTATAAGTTTTAAAAGAAATGTAAAAATATTCAAATAGTTGGTCTTGTTCTTAACATAATTACGAATTGCGAAATTGTACTTGGTTAATTTTTCTGATATGAGAAGGGGGAATAAATTAAATCCAGAGTGGACCCGTAAGTAAGTGTGCTTAAAAAGTGACCCGTGTGCGTGTGTGTTATATCTCGTAAACCTCTGTGAACATCCATCATCATCGAATTTGCTCCACTCCACTTCACTGCCCGCTCGATTCTGTCTCCATTTCTGTGATTTCTGTCTCTCCATTCTGTCTCTACGTATTTGGGAATCCGTTCAGAACTTCTGTGTGCCATCGCTAATTCGGTTTGTACCCTCACAGATTCCTATGACGATCCGACCGATATTAATTTCGATCCCAAGGACCAAGTGGAGGGCTCCGGCAGCGACGGTCCCACCTGTCGCGGAGATGCCACATTCACCTGTCGCCACAGCGGAACTCGCATTTGCGATGAGATGCAATGCGACGGCGAGGCCCAGTGTCCCCATGGCGAGGACGAGGAGAACTGCCCCTATGCACCGCGTAATGAAATTGATCATATCTATCAGAGCAACGATCTTTTACTCATCGATCGTTTAGCATGGCCCAATATCCATACTAATCAGCTAGCATCTCCATACCTAACCGATTTGCAAAGGGATCTTATAGTATATTTCAATACAAAATCAATCAATGATTTCCGATGCTACTCTTGAATAGCTAAATTTAAATTTAAAGCATCAGAGAATACATGCTTGGTGATATATACATATTTTCGTTTTCGTGGGTCTTTTCATAAAAATTAAGAACTCGCGTACTTTTAATAACTAACTGTAATTGCGAATTTTCTCTAAAGAAAAGTCAGTCTGTAAGACGCATTCAAATGTCAGTGCATCTATCATCAATATAGGATCTTCCCTTACCGATTCGTTCGTTCATTTCCATTTATTTGGCTTGTTATTTAAGTTGATTTTAATTTTGATTTCCCTCTTTCGTTTCTCGTTTTTTGTTGCGTGCCTCAGTTTGCACCGAAGATCAGTTCAAGTGCGACGATAAATGCCTGCCACTCAGCAAGCGCTGCGACAGGCAAATCGATTGCCAGGATCAGACCGACGAGGCTGGCTGTGTTCAGCCGCCCACTCCAGAGCCGGAATACAGGCCAGAGCCAGATGAGGGTGATGATGCATCACCTCGAACTGAAGATCGTCCAGAACCGGAACCAGAACCTGAACCTGAACCTGAACCAGAACCAGAACCAGAGCCTGAACCAGAGCCTGAACCTGAACCTGAACCTGAACCAGAACCAGAACCAGAACCAGATTTTCAGGGTAAGTTACTTTCAGTATTATTCATTTCGTTCAATTATTTCTTGGGGCTTTATTTTGGGTTAAAAATTCTTCAAGAGAACGTTTTTAGATTTATTTAATTCTTTTAACGGAGTTCCCAAAATGAAACTTCTACTGACGTTTGAATGGAATTAGATTACAATGTTTGTTTATTGGTGGTAACAAATTTGCAGGTTAAATTTCGAACAAAACATATCATTATCGCTTGATTTAGTTTGGTTATTTGTTAAGTGATTTTATTTCTTGGCGAATAGTGTCTTTGAAATTTGTGCCTGTTTTGGGTGATCTCATTTCTTAAATGCCCGCGATCTGCAATCGCTTATATGCTCTTTATAATAGCCAAATAAATTCCGCACTTTGATTGGCCCGAGTCAATTGGGTTAAATATTTGATTTCCAAATGGATTTCCAATGAGTTGGTGGCGCCTTTTTGGCACGTAATCGAATGCGTTTGATTCTGTTTAAAATAAAGGCACTCCGCACATTCAGATTTGCCAGCATTTCTCGATGATTCAAAGCTGATATCCATTCGGCATATTTCAACGTGACGACCTACTTTAGAAATATGTGTTCCAAACTAGTAATATTTCGTAGAATCGTGTCCTCCCACTGACCCTGAATACTTTGCCATTCGCTCTTTCTTGGAAACAGCAGCCTTGTGCTGTGCAAATTGCAGTGGGAAAGGAGGCGAGAGCCAAAGCCATAAATGTAAACAGCACTGGAGACAACAAGGCGAAACAAGCGATTCAACCAAAAAGTGAAATTACAAACCAACTTCGCCCACACCAAACACCACCACACCATCCCAGCGGGAAAGTGAGAAGTAGGTTTTTATTTGACTGGAAAACCTCCTTCTTTTAGCAGGCGTAGGGGTAGGGATAGATGAAAATCTACTTCTTTTAGCAGGCGTAGGGAAGGGATAGACGATTTCGGACCGATTTCGGGGGTGGGTTTTTACCGAAAGAAGGAGGTTTTTGTTCAGCGGTAAGGGGAAAAATCCAGTGGATTTTGCCCTGCATTCAGCAGCTTTAGGTCCACTGGATTTTTCCCTTTACCCCTTACTTTTGTGTGTCACCCCCGTGTATTTTGAAAGGAGAGACGGCAGATTTGTAAGGGGTAAAGGGGATTTTCCACATTCCGCTTGTATGAAGAAACCACTGGAAAATAGCATATTTTCCACAGGTTTTTTCCCACTGGGATGCCACACCACACCACCTTACACCACTCCACACACACACAGGCCATCCACCCATCTGCAAACCGCAATTCTGACACCCCAAAAAGCCAGATTACAATATCCATGAAATATGCCACAAAAGTCGGTGGCGCAACGAGAGAAAAAATATGTTATGTAGATGGTGATTTGGAGCCTGACAGCCCTGTGTGTGTGTGTGTGTTGTGTGTTGGTGTGTAGTGTGTGTGTAGTGTGTGTGTCCATAGAGAGTGCGTGTTTTATTATAATGTTCCTTTTGCTTTGCTTTTTTGCGTGGTTAGCTGCACTGTGTCGTCGGCTAACAGCAAAAACAATTTGCAACAGATTAAAATTACCCCTAAGCGTATTATAAACTTAAGTAATCCTCTTGCAGTGCAAGAACAACCGGAACCGGGAACCACCCCGAAATCCCGAGTCCAGGACTCCTTCTATTTCGTTCGCAGACTCCCCAGCTTGCTTTTACTACTTTCGGGGGCGTGTTAAGTGCTGTCAACGAGATTAAATGCAATGTCAGAGGTCGCCACCCACCAAAAAACAGTAGCACACACGCACCAAAAAAAAAACGACGAAAAAAAAAGTTGTGTCCTTGGAAATTTAATGAATTTTCAACACACCACTCCAGGGCATCCCGAATAAAAAAGAAAGCGAAGGAACGGGGGTGGAAAATGGGATACGTCTGAATTAGTTGGGATAGTTCCTAAGGTTCCTTTCTTTGGAATATTTAGCATTAATATATATTTTTCTTTTGATAGGGTAAAAATTGGAGAAGTAAAGGTAGACTTCTCCCTTTGTTTTGCTTTCGCCTGTGATAATAAATCTCCCTTTTTATTTACATTTTTTCTTGTTTTTTTTTTTTTATTTATTTTTTTTTATTATTTATTTTTATTTATTTATTTATTTTTTTTTATTTATTTTTTTTTATTTATTTATTTATTTATTTTTTTTTTTTTTTTTTTTTTTTTTTTTTATTTTTATTTTTTATTTATTTTGCTTATTTATTTATTTTTATTATTTACACATAGCGGGGCTTATATATTTTTTAATTGAGCTCGAGTTCTTGGCCATCAACAGACCTTGGGTCGGACTCTTCAGTTGCGCATTAGTCATTTGGGTTAATGAAGGCGATATTTCTGGATTCGAATGCTGTTCCGGGCTCAAAAACGTTTGCAACAATGTATATTTCGTTGTTACACTCGCTGCTGTCGTTCTGAAATCCGAAACTTCCGTGGCTTTTCGGATGGTTTCGAAAGTGCGTCAATGGAAGCTGTGCACAGCTTGCACTTGAAGCTTGAATTGTGTTTTTTTGTGGGGAAGGGCCCTGCTTTTATCATTATGCAACGTAGTTGGGAAATGTTATTACCCCCCACCACCACCACCACCACCCCCTTTATTCTCCCTTGGCCATCGCCCATTTTGTAATTTGGTATTCAAAGTTGAATTTATGAACCATATACACATCCATACGAATATATATTTTTGTGCGCTTTTGCGGCTGCATTGGGTTTTTGTTGATTAAATTTGGCAAAGACAACTTGCACTTTTCCCCGCACCTTTTTTGGCGCGAGTCAATTAGCGGCTTCAGTTTGCCTGAACTGTGTTAAATGGCTGCGGATTTCAATGTGCTGCTCACCCAGCAACCAACCGCACACACGAGTACCAGAAAACGTAGAAAAAACAGAAATAAATAGAAAAAAATCATGGAAAAACAGTGCACAAATGGACAAGGAAAGTGGGCAACATAACATCTAGGTGGCCACACATATGCAAATTGAATTTGCCAGCCAGCCAACGCTTTTCTTTTCTCGCCAAGCCCCGAAAAGGGCGAAAATTAAGCCAAGAAGGAAATCCACAAACAAGTAAACAGCAAAACAAAAGAAGAGGACGACGAAATATAGAATGAAAGATATGGGAAATTAGGAGGAGACCTCAAAGATACCCTAGATTTCCAATATGCACATAAGTTCGTTTTTTTTTTTCTTGTCATTTAAGGCCTTTGCAAAGTGAAACTTTTTATTGGCTTCCGTTTGGCATGTGCCTAAATCATGTTCTATGGGCCATAAATCGTTCCTTAATTAGGTAATCGCAAAAAAAAAAGGTATGCAAATGCTGTGGCCATCAAGAACGCCAGTCAATCACAGGCTGCATAATTCTTTTTAAAATTTGCAGTGTTTCGTAGTATTTTAAAATACGTACAAATATGAAATGTTTTTTTTGTAAAACGTTCTTCTATTTCTGCTGCAGACTGAACAACCTGACTGAAATCCGAGTAGACCTTTTCGGCCTCCAAGAGCAGCGAAAAACTGTTGAAATCATAAAAAATCATAACAGCAAACAATGCTAACCCCGGCCACGCCCTCCGCCTCTCGGGGGAGTTGTGCATGTCTGATGAGCTTCGCTTGTGTGTGTGTGTGTGTGTGACTTTTCCAATGTTTACACCTTGGTTATAAGCACCCAACTAGCTTACTGTTTTTAAGATATTTTACTTACCAAACTTTGCCAGATAATACCACATATATATGCGAAATAATTTCTTAAAATTTTTATTCGGAATAAGAAATGATAAATAATAAAATAAATTTTATTGTTCGCCAAAAAGCATGCGTATGAACGTAAAATGTGTTGCAAAGGAAAACTGAAATGCTTTACGCGCCAGATTCCGCTAAGCATTTTCCCCTTGCTACCGCGTTTTAAAATATTTTATAAATAACATAAAAACACAACAAAAGATGTTTAAATTAAACAAAATGTGTAATATATAATATATATTAATATATATATAATGTAACATTCGAATTTGTCCTGAGGCTTTGGCGCAGGCGTAGAAAATTGGCCGTTTTCCCAGCTGGGCAGCAACATGTCGCCGCTGCGGAAAAGCCGAACCTTCGGCAACATGCTGCATTCACCTGGTTGGCTGCTTCACTTCGGGTGCTCCATGGGTGCTCGCCGGATGTCGTCATCGTCGGTGGATTGCTGGAGCTTCGGCCTTCGGCTGTTGTGCTTCCCCATCAACATTTGATGCAGCCTCATGTCGCTAGCAATAATTATTGAAAAAACATAAACAAGAATAAAACGAAAAGTGCAGTACAGCAAATTATAAAATACAAACTAGAAGTTCTAGTTCCTGAAATTACTTTCCAAAAAGATTGGGTCACGCCTTGCAAATCATTTTAAAGAAAGGTTTTTCAACGAAATGTTCTAATTTAAACCTAAAGTAAACAAAAGTATTTTATCTTTTTAATCCAAATTATCAGATATGCAGCTTGTACTGCGGCGTGCACAAGCTCCCTTATCTTCTTTATTGAGATGCTTGCTTGGCAACATTTTCTGTGCAAGTCGGCAACATTCCGCTACGCCTGCTCACGCTTGCAACGCTTTTCAATTTTCAACGCCGCGTCAGTTCAACGTGAAGCGTTTGCGTGTGCGTTACGTTGGCGCGGTTTCAGCTCTCCAGTTCATTAAAATTCCAAAGTATCCAAAGTACATCCTTACCTACTGCCCGACTCTCTCAGATATCGGTCGAGATATATATCATATAAAAAGAGAAGTGTAATCTAATTTTTGTTAACATTTTTTTTTGATTGTGTTCAAAAAACAATGCAGGAAAAACAAAAGAATATTCAGCCTTTTATGTGCGAAAATCCTCTGCGATTTCTGTTCTGTGCGTGTGATCTCAACTTTGTGCATACTTATCTCCTCCCAGTGACTCCTATAACATGCTATATTGACCCTGGGACTGACGTTTCATGGCCTTCGTAGATAAAAAGCGGCTA